TGATCTCACCCAGCGGCTTCATGTAGATATTAAATAGCATCGGGGACATCACTTTTAATGCCATTACAATTAATGGGATTTGTGCATCTATGGATTTTATTATCCACAGGGGATCCTGGAACCAACCCCTGGCAGATAACAAGGATCCACTGTACTCAGCTTGCCCTACTGTGGCCACATGATCAATAACCACAATAAGTGGGGAAATGTAGGCTGCTATTTTAAAAATTTCCAGATCTGTTCATGCAACCACTAGTGCATCATTATTAATAACATTATTAGTCATATTGATTATTAATGGAAAGGCCAATTTTAGATGAGGTCAAGTTTCTGTTTTAGTGACTATTCTGATAAACAAATTCAAATTTGCTTTCTCATTAATATTGTTATCCTGTGGTAGAAGTTTAAAAATGTATGAATAATGGAAGGCAGCTCCTCTCTGAATGAATCTGTAGACCTAAATAGGAAAGTTATCCTAAATCAGTCATATAAATCAACAAGTAGGCCCTGCAGCTAAATGTTGAACATGAAGATTGCTGCGGTTCAGGATTCTAGGATACTCTAGTCTATTCCATTGTCTCACAATGCATTTTTCTGTTTCTCTGTGGCTACTGAGTTCAATAATCATTGAGCTGTTTTGAATTTCCCCCCTTAATCAAGAATTCTTCTTCCTTAAGATAATTTTGGAGGGTATTTGTGCAAATTTGGGCTTGCCCCAACTCTGATGATACCTCCTCTTTCTGCATGGATGGTGCTGTTTTGGCTACACAAAGATCAACACTTGCCTCTGAACCTCAGAAACAGAGGGGAAAATGCTCTTTTAGCCTTGAATCTTAATTGTCATAAGTTGTGCCTTGATTATAGAAATCATTTCACTCCAGTTTAGTACCTGGAGCTGTTTTTCAGAAGTACAGTTTTACAGTAGAAAACATTTCAATAGAAATGAATAGATTCAAAACTACTGATAAATCATTGCTCAATAAGTTTGATTCAGTTATTCTGATTTTATTTATTATTCAGTTAAGACCAAGGTGTTCTTTCCTACTATGAATGGTCATTTAATCCAGTAAGAAAATTGTATTATCACCAACTATTGTTTAACAACAACAACAAATTGGTAGTATATAGTGACTCTGTTTATCTTGTATATCCTCAAGTTTTTCATAGAAATTCCTCAGAATGTAACTCTTGCATGCCCTTTTGACCTGATTATTTATGCTTTAAAAATAATATTTCTGTACCATGCATACATGCATTTCTTTATATCTGCCAACTGAGGGTACAGTTCATGCATCTATCCAACTAGCTTTTAGTATACAAAAGTGTAAGCCACAATATATCCATTATGTTGTAAGATGCCACACCACTCTCTCTCTGTTGTTAAGACTTGCGTGCTTTTAACTCTGAAATTTGTATTAGACCTGCTGACACATAATGCCTTCTGAATGGGGATTACTGTGTATCAGGTCTGAGTCAGTCATGTAGCCTGAATCTTTACCCGAGTCATTACATTGACTCAGAGAGGAAAGTATCTGAAGGGAAATTCATTTTATATGTGAGTAAAGGTGGTGAGACTGGAATTTTTGCATACAAACTAAGGCAGACTTAATGTCATGAATTATTGCTATCTTCAAGTGTGTAACAACATGATGAATATCCAAGTAGTTGATGAGAAGGAGAAGTAAAGTTGAAGATATCACTTGGTTGCTTCTGTGGCTTAGGGCTGAGTGCTTATCTAAAGAAAAAGAAGAAAAGATACTGATGCTTACCTAAAGAAGGGACTTAATTGCATCTGATAAGGACTGATTCTACAGTTTACCTACAGACCTTGCCTGATACTAATAAGTCCACTATGCATAGCTGTTGTGGTTTGACATGGATTTGAATGCACCAAATTAGTTTATACAAAAGAGCCAGTGTGACATAGTGGTTTGAGTGTTGGACTATAACTCTGAAGACCAGGTTCGATTCCCTGCTTGGCCATGAAACACACTGGGTGACTTTGAGCAAGTCACGTGCTCTCAGCTTGAGGGGAAGGTAATGGCAAACCTCCTTTGAACAAATCTTGCTAATAAAATCCCATGAAAGGTTTGCCAAAGGGTTGCCATAAGTTGAAAATGACTTGAAGGCATACAGCAACAAACAACCAACCTTATACAATAAAGTACATGGCTTTTAGAAACATGTTTGATGCTCTCCATCATACACATGCATGTGCAGAATGAATTAATTGCAGTAGTTTCTAGTAACACATTATTTGCGTCATTTTGGTGTCATGGATCTACATATACGTTACTGGAAATAACATGTGGCATAATGATTTGAGAGTTTAACAGCTCTAGAGATTTAATTCCCAGCTCAGCCATGAAACCCATTGGGTGACCTTGAGCAAATCACTTGCTCTCAGTCTTCGGGGAAGGCAACAGTACAGCAACAAAACAAAATAAATAACAACAAATACCACTGCCACTATTACCGGTATTGGGAGCACTTCTTTCCTGCCAGCTTGCTGAAATGTTAAAATTATTTAATATAGAAATAACATATGAGGGGAAAGCTTCTCTCTCCCACCATTCTGCCTGCAATCCACAATATGAGTAACCTATATTCCAAGGCTTAAAATAGTCACTTGACATGGACACCAACATGCATAAGAAAAGAAAACCTTGTTAGACAAGTAGTTTGACTCTATAAACTTATTTTATCTTCACCTGGTGGGTTCAGACTATTGGCTAAGACAATTTTATTCTCTGTTCCAGGATATATTTGTAGAGGAATATTACTGAAAAAATACTAGCTAGAGATAAGAGTGTATCTTTCTTTGGCACCAAGATATGTTCTATTAGTATGTTTTTTTTTGCATAAACCCCATGCTTTGGTGTTCAATCTTTAAAGTCAGAGGTTTAGATTGTAGTATTATTCAGAGAGATAGCTGTGTTAGTATGTTTCAGTGTCAAAAGGCATGAAACATCAAGTAGCACTTTTGTCATCTGAAGACATGGATTGATACCTGTGAAAACCCACGTTAGAATAAAGCAGTTAAGAATCAAAGGTGCTTCTGGATTCCTTAATACTCTTTTAATCTTTAAGAGTGAAAACTGAATGTGATGATACACTCTGTTGGTATCTTGCATATTAATCATCTCCCAATATACAAATATTTATAATTAAGCTGAAGTACTGAAATTTAACAAAGTAGAAACCCTATTGAAGTCAGTGAGACTATTGGGACTAATCCTAAATCTTGCTGTGATTGTTATAGGTAATTGGAAATAATGTATTGCATGAGTTTAATGCCACATATCATGTTATTATATTAATTTGGAAGAGCACAAAAATAATGCTACAACTGCATAATCAGTTTTAATATTTTGGATGGGAGTGCCAGTAAAGAATTTTGTATATTAGGCTATTTATTAAATGTTAATATGTTATTCAACAAGTAGAGCTGGCGTAGTGTAGTGCCTTGAGTGTTAGATTGCAACTCTGGAAACCAGGGTTCAATTCCTGCTCTGCCATGAAACCCACTTGGTGACCTTGGGCAAGTCACATACTCTCAGCCTCAGGGGAAAGCAATTGCAAACCCTTTTGATCACATCTTGTTAAGAAAACCCCATGATAGGTCCACCTTAGGGTTGCCATAAGTCAGAAACAACTTGAAGGCACACAAGAAGAATAATTACATTTTACCATCAGAATTCAGCCATCCAGCCTAATACATGAATAAGCCAGTATCTCCAAATAAAGCAAGTTATAATCCATTTCTGAATATTCTGTTCTTCGTACATGCTGCAGTGTGACTTCAGCCATTATGGTACTGTTGTGGTGAATTTATTGTAAGAATTTGCATAAGATAATGGCTTAGTTAGAAGTCAGAATTTTTAAATAATCAATTACTTAAAAATAATTTTGCTGTTATTCATTACAGTGTTTAAAAGCAACTTTGTGTTACTTATTACTTTTTGTTACTGAAAATACCGTAATCTTTGGAGAGATAGGAAAAGGGCATAAAATATGAAGAATTCAGCTCAGAACACTTCTAAAAATGTCCTAGGATGTAGAAAAAGTCAGGAAAGTAACTCAAAAACTACTTGTTACACTAGACAACGTATAAATGAACAACTCATTCTCATTCAACTATGTTAAAGGTTACTTTATTATGCCATTGTTACCATGACCCCATCCAGCCCACCTAAGTATGATGAATGTACCATACCACACCTGCAGAAATATGGTAACTACATTATTTTGTATTGCTGAAGTGTACCCCTGCTCCCCACTAGAGTCTGTTTGATATGAGCACCCTTTTAAACAAAGGAAATGAAAGGAATCTTTCTTTTTATGGACTTGTGAAGTTTGGGAGGTACACTGCATTTCTCTGTCAGGGCAGCTTCCTAGATTTTGAACTGTCAGTAGCCAAGTGAAGGGACTACCCTAATTACAGCTCTAATTAACAATTTGAAATTTCTGCTTGGAGCTAAGAGGAAATCTAACCAGATGAGGATATAAATAGAAACCCTCAAATTTATACTTGCAAAACAAAGGCTGCAAACTAGCATCAACTCAGCACAGTATAAATGAGATACAACGTGCCAGCATTGTGCAACTTCCATACAGAATAGCAACATTGTGTAACATATGCCACTGTGTGTCATTGTGCAGCACACAGTGCACACCTGCAATATGCAATGTGCTCCCACAATCACAATATACAACTGCAGTGTACAACGCTCAATGCATTGCCACAATATCCAATGGTGCTGTATGCTCAACTCCACTTCCATCACTGTCAGCAGGTGATGTATATTACGCTATGGGAAATAAGTCTTCCTGCGTGCATAGTGCAATTTATGCATGCATATTTCACTAACAGAATGCCAGCCAAAATCTGTTCCATTTTAGGCCTAGATCCAATATAGTAGTGTTTGAGTGTTGGATGGTGACTCTGGAGATTAGGGCTTGATTCTTTGCTTGGCCATGGAAACTGACTGGGTGATCTTGGCCAAGTCACATGCTTTCAGTCTCAGGGGAAGGTAATGGCAAACCTCCTCTGAACAAATCTTGCCAAGAAAACTCCATGATAGATTCACATTAGGGTCACCATTAGCTGGAAATGACTTGAGGGCACACAACAACAACACAACCTATTGAATCAATGGGATTTACATAAATGCTAGTTTGTTGTTCAGCAATTGAGTGAATGTATTCTAGTTGTGACTAGCAACTGGATTCAAGCTGTAGGAATATGTGGAAACACTCAGCTGTTGTACAGTATGTGGAATGCTGGGTGTTGCATCTTGAGTTGCATCTTGAGTCTCTGTGAGTTGCATCTTGATTTAGGCCATGAGGAGAGTAATATTGTCATGGGAATTTCTTGGTGGGGTAACTCATGGGCCTCCCAAATTCTGTTTGGGGATTAATTTGGTGTTTTGGAATCTGAGCCCAGTTTAATCAAGATTGATCCTGTCTAGACCTCAAGTCTCAAGTCCAAATCAAGTTTCAGAAATCCAGATTGCATATTCTCCCCCATTGAGTTATATTGGGAAATCAAACTCACTATAATCCCCCTCACACCTGGATAAAATGTAGCCCTAAACATGGGATTAATCCCGCCAGAATTCAGACAGTAGCTTCAGAGGCTTTTGTTCTAGGAGCCAGTGAAATTTGCTGTCCCTTCCCCCCAAAAGTTGTTGACCGTTATCAATCTCAGCTATTAATGCTATTTTTGTCCTGCCGCTGTGCTCCTAGTATTGAAGAGCCTTTCTAGAGCACCTAGAGGTTCCCCAAACTCTACAACTGAGGAAATGCAACAAAGGCAGGCAGCAACACTTGGCAGAGCACCAATCTTCCAGTGCTTTTTGCTTCTTGAGTCTGCATGTTAGACATAGAGCATTAGTTAGCTAATTCTGTTTAATGATGAGCAATAGATATCCTTCTGCTAACAAAGGGCCTAAGCAGACGGGCGGCCATGGGCCGCCCTGGGAAGGTGTGCCACGGGGCCGAGGCATCCCCATGCCTCGATCTAGCGGCGCACCATCGGTGCCTCTGGAAAGGAGCGCTAAAATAGCGCTCCTTTCATATGTCGCCGAAAGTGCACCTCAAAACGTTGCGGCGCACTTTCGGCGACCCTTCTGTCGCAGCGTGTCCGGACGCTGTGGCAGGAGGTCCTCCTCGGAGCGCTGGCCGTGCGGAGGGCCGGCTGCTCCGAGGATGACCTCAGGAGGGGGATGGGGCACCGAGCATGCGGCTGCCCCTCCCCTTCCCTGTGCCGAGGACGGCCTATTAAGCCATCTGCTTAGGCCCATTGCTTCTGATAGTGAAGTTCCTTTTTACAAAGCCTTTTTGTGCCCACCCAACCCCCTTTTCCCCCTTGTCCTGTGTCTAGCTGAAAGGGTTTTAGTAGCATTGGAATTAGAAAGATGGAGAAACACAGACTTCCAATGTGGTGTTATGCAGTACATTTGCAATAAACAAAGCAATACAATTGAGCTGAGAAAGAGCAGAATTCTGTTCTAGCTTATCCTATTGTTGCATGGGACAACAGGCATGATAAATAAATATTTTCTGCTTCCAGACAGTGGCGTCCTGCACTGGGGTGTCAACTGGTGTGGGAATGGGGCTTTGGGGGTGGAACCAAAACAGGTCCTTCCCTCCCTGCCCCGCACTGCTTTACTTTGGAATAGAGCTGCATGCGGCAGGGAGGGAGGGGGCCTGGCACCCCCATCCCTGCTCTGCGTGGCTTGAAAGTCAAGCCTTGCAGGCAGGGATGGGGGGGCACTGGTCCCTCCCCCTCCTCACCTTGGGAGGCTTGAAAGTCAAGTCTCACAGGGCAGGGACTTGGGGAGCTGGGGCCTTCCCCTTCCTGCCATGCGCCACCTGGTGCAGTCTGCATCCCCTGCACCCCCTAGTGATGCTACTGCCTCCAGGATACCTTACTTTAGCATGCATGAAGAGCAAAACAGTAAGAAAAGAGGAGAGCAGAT